AATTCCTTCATTTCTGGATCAAATAATGGAATTCCAAAACCTGGCATGAGGGAAAAAGTTCCTGGTAATTCCTAAAAAAATTCCTGGTTATTCCTTAAAAAATTCCTGGTAATTCCTTCATTTCTGGATCAAATAATGGAATTCCAAAACCTGGCTTGAGGGAAAAAGTTCCTGGTAATTCCTTAATTTCTGGATAAAATAATGGAATTTCAAAACCTGGTGTGAGGGAAAAAATTCCTGGTAATTCCTAAAAAAAATCCTGGTTATTCCTTAAAAAAAATCCTGGTAATTCCTTCATTTCTGGATCAAAAAATGGGAATTCCTAAACCCAGCCAGAAGAAAAAAATTCCTGGTGATTTCTGGATCAAATAATGGGAATTCCTAAATCTGGCCTGAGGGGAAAAAAAGTTCCTGGTAATTCTTTAATTTCTGGATCAAATAATAAGAATTCCTAAAGCTGGGGGAATCCTCGCTTGTTTCCCGTCACCTTCCAGGTGTAAAAAGGGTTAAAAGTCACCTTGAAATGTCCTAATTTGGGTCCTAAAGGTGGAAATCACTTGGGGTTTTTGGGATTTGAAAGATATTTTTATTGGATTTGGGGATTTTCAAAACATTTTCTGGGTTTTTTACAGATTTAAAATCCATTTTCAATGGATTTTGGGATTTAAAGAGTATTTTCCTTGTTTGTTTGGGATTGAAATTACATTTTCCTTGGATTTTAAAGAATATTTCTGTAGAGTTTTTCTTTTTGTTTTTGGATTTAAAAAATGTTTTCTTGGTTTTTTGGGGATTTAAAGGATATTTCCCTTGTTTTTCTTGGGATGTTTTTTTGGGATTGAAGGACATTTTCCTCAGGTTTTTTTGGATTTAAAAACCATTTCCGAGGGTTTTTTTTTGATCTAATACCTAGAAAATCCCACAAAAACCCCATCAATTCTTCCATTCCAATTCTTACAAAAGACTACAAAAATCTCCCCCAAAATTCCAAGAAATTGCCAAAAAAACCCCCAAAATTTCCCAAAAATCAATAAATTGCCAAAAATCCTCCCCAAAAATTCAGAGAAATAACCCAAAATATGTCAAAAATTGCCAAAAAATACACCAAAAAGTCAAAGAAAATCTCCCAAAATTTAAAAAAAAGTTCTCCAAAATTCCCAGAAATCCCATTAAAAAATCCCCCCCAAATCTGCCAAAAATTAAAAAAACCAGCCCAAAATTAAAAAAAAAAAAAAACACAAAAAATGTCACAAAATTCCCAGAGAATCCTCCAAAATTTCAAGAGATCCCCAAAAAATATTCCCAAAAAGTCCTCAAAACCCCCTCAAAATGCCCCAAAAAATCCATCAAAACCCCCCTAAATATTTCCAAAAAATTCCCCAAAACATCCCCCAAAATTCCTGAAAACCACCAAAAACTCACAGAACATTCCCAAACAATCGCCCCAAAATTTTGAAAAAAATCCCCAAAATTAAAAAAAAAAAATCCTTCAAAATCCCCCCAAAACCCTCAAAAATTACAAAAAAATTGCCAAAAAATTCTGAAAATTCCCAAAAACTCCCCAAGAAATCCCCCAAAAAATTTTAAAATAATCCATCAAACCCCCCCCAAAAATTCATCAAAAATCCCAATGATATAATTCCCCAATGGTAAAAAAAAAAAAAAAATCCTCCAACAATTGGAAAAAATCTCAAAAATTTTCCAAAATATCTCCCCAAAGATTCCCAGGATTTTTTTCCTTGCAAACCCCAATTTTCCCCACAAAAAGCTGATTTTACTCTCAGGCACAGGGCAGTACCTGGCACAACCCTCACAGACACGCTCCAGCTCCTGAAGCCCCTCAGCCAAAAACCCAATTAAAAATTCCCCAAAAAAATCCGTCAAAAATCCCCAAAAAATCCCCCTAAAGATTCCCAGTTGTTTTTTATCCCTGCAAACCCAATTTTCCCCACAAAAAGCTGATTTTTGCCTCAGGTGTGGGACAGTACCCAGTGGCAGTTGCTGAGCCTGGCTCCCGAAGCACAGCCCTCACAGACCAGCTCCAGCTCCCGGAGCCCTTCTGCCAAAAACCCGAGAAAAATTCCCCAAAAAATCCATCAAAAATACCCAAAAAAATCCCCCTAAACATTGCAAGGGTTTTATTTCCCTGCAAACCCCAATTTCCCCACAAAAATGTTGATTTTTCTCTCAGGTGTGGTGCTCCACCTTCCCGGAGCGCAGCCCTCACAGACCAGCTCCGGCTCCCGGAGCCACTCCAGCAAAACCCAATTAAAAATTCCAAAAAAAATTAATCAAAAATCCCCAAAAAATCCCCCTAAAGATTCCCAGTTGTTTTTTCCCTGCAAACACAAATTTTCCCCACAAAAAGCCAATTTTTCCCTCAGTTGTGGAGCTCCACCTGCCCGAAGCGCAGCCCTCACAGACCAGTTCCCGCTCCCGGAGGCCCTCAGCCAAAAACCCATGAAAAATTCCCCAAAAAATTCCATCAAAAATCCCCAATAAATCCCACCAAGTATTCCCAGGGTTTTTTTTCCCCTGAAAACTCCAATTTTCCCCATAAAAAGCTGATTTTTCCCTCAGGCGTAGTGCTCCACCTTCCTGAAGCACAGCCTGGCACAGACGAGCTCCAGCTCCTGCCTGGAGCCCCTCTGCCAAAAACCCGAGAAAAATTCCCCAAAAAATCCATCAAAAATCCCACAAAAAATCCCCAAAAAGATTTCCTGGGTTTTATTTCCCTGAAAACCGCAATTTTCCCCACAAAAAGTCGACTTTTCCCTCAGTTGTGGTGCTACACCTTGCTGAAGCGCAGCCTGGCACAGACCAGCTCCAGCTCCTGCCTGGAGCCCCTCTGCCAAAAACCTGAGAAAAATTCCCCAAAAAATCCATCAAAAATCCCCAAAAAATCCCCCTAAACATTGCAAAGGTTTTATTTCCCTGCAAACCCCGATTTTCCCCACAAAAAGCAAATTTTTCCCTCAGACATGGTCCTCCACCTGCCCAAAGCGCAGCCCTAACAGACCAGCTCCGGCTCCCGGAGCCCCTCTGCCAAATACCCAATTAAAAATTCCCAAAAAAATCCATCCAAAATCCCCCAAAAAATCCCCCAAAAGATTTCCTAGGTTTTATTTCCCTGCAAACCCCAATTTTCCCCACAAAAAGCCCATATTTCCCTCAGACATGGTGCTCCACCTTCCAGGAGCGCAGCCCTCACACACCAGCTCCGGCTCCCGGAGCCCCTCGGCCAAAAACCCATGAAAAATTCCCCAAAAAAATCCATCAAAAATCCCACAAAAAATCCCCCCAAAGATTCCCTGGGGTTTTTTTTCCCCTGCAAACCCCAATTCTCCCCACAAAAATGTCGATTTTTCCCTCGGGTGTGGTGCTCCACCTGCTCAAAGCTCAGCCCTCACAGACCAGCTCCTGCCTGGAGCCCCTC